ATACTAAAGTGCTGTCCTCAGCATCCAATGTTCTCATTTATCTCACAAGTTAATTTGAGCTTCTAAACTTGCAATACTTTTTTAATATGTGATATAATGCTGCTTAGAGACCTCTAAGGTCGTGCTAAAAAACATTTAAAAATAAATAAAGGATTAAAATTATGTGAAGTACTGGTGCATATTGGGACAAACTGGTGGTTTTACCAGACACAAGAGGGCGCAAGAGGACAGCAACAATGAAGGCACCGCTTCCTCTACAATTGTGGAGTTAATTGTGCCCCCATCACAACCAAAAACTTACCTTACACTTCTTTTGCCAGGTGGGACCCTGAGGATAAGACATCTTGTGGTCTTGGTTATYCTGATTTTTAGGATTCATACCACCAAACTTGGCTTGATTTTGCAGAATGTCAATGTAATACCAAAAATTAAAACTCCAAAATTAATTTAATTGCATGATTACAAATGAAAAAAATAAATAAATAAAAATAAATAGCCTGTCCAGCCAATGAGTTTCATTTAAACAGATACGCTCACATGCAGTATTTGTTGGAGCAGAATCAGAATGAAGCCCACCTCCACGTGCCTCTGTGCGTGCACACAGCATTATACACGCACATGACGTTTGGAGGAACGTGATTGTAAGGCCTGGGTTCACCTCTCCACCCGCATCCACTGTTTTGGTGACGTCACTGCAGGTCGCTTTCTTCTGTTGCTGAGAGCTCCCTTGTCTCTGCGCTGCTGTCGTGTGAGTCCCACGCTGCGTGTCCTCAGTCTCTGCCCTCCTTCCTCCCATCGCCCCGCCCCGCCTGCCCATCGGGAGGGTTTCATTTTCCACATCACTATGTTTTTCTTTTTCTTCTTCTCTTTTTTGGTTTCCTCCTTTCCCTGAGCTGTCCGCACCACGGCTCCCTGTGGACATCATGGAGATCTAAAGCAGGCTGGAAACTATACTCCCATCTCCCTACAAAACTCCGCAGGTTTCCTCCTCCATCCCTCCGCTGCGGTGAAGCTTGAGCGGATCATGCATCACATGAAGCCATGGCGAGCTCTGCTCCTTCTGGCGATGCTTTACCGACCAGCATCCTCTGAGAAATACGGTAAGCTGATGCTGGATGGGGCGGTGACAGCAGATGTTTGGATCACAACACGAGTGATCCTGTGTTCTGAAAGTGCGTTCATATATATATATATA